TGAACGTTATAGTTTAAGGTAGTATCACAGAAATGTTTTGCAATGACAAAGGGCAGACACATAAATATTGTTAGTTGCCAGTAGATTTAGACCTCATAGTTGCTTAAACATGTCGGAGCTCGGAAATTGGGAATTACTATCAAAAACAATTAACTTCAAAATTAGCCAAACATAGTCAATTGTAATATCAGCAGTACGTAAAATGATCTATAGTCAGCTAGAACTTACGGTTATAGGTGTCATACAATGGATCTTCAAGTTCTCGTCTATATATTTCACTTTCGTTCGTTTTCCGGCACTCTCCATTATCACAAATTCCAGTTAGGATCGTAAAAACATAGCCAATGCCTTTATGCTTCAGCTAAAAATAAAGATACAACAGATTAATTTGCATTCAAATTAAATTATGTAGTCTTGTACAAAAATGTTACTTTTCGTTGTAATTTCTGCCTGCTGAGTTTACTAACATCTCAAGAAATAAAAATAGTTTTTTTTACAAACCAAGTAAGATGTTACATTCAAAGAAAACCTGAGTTACCAAAAAGATTTTTCGCGCTCGTTAGTCAAAAACTGTTTACGTATTTTTTTCCTACGCCGCAGAAGAATTTAGCAAAGAGGAAGGAGTCCAGAAAGGCCTGTAAGATTTACATATAAAGCAATTAGGAATTACAGCTACGGATTTTACCTGTTTGCGCAGGTCAATATTTATGTTATTTTCTGGGGCATTTGTTAAAAGATTTAAATATATGTATATTTTTGTCATAGAATGGTCAATATTTGCTGTGAGAAATACGTCACCTTCTAGCCATGAAATTTTCAGGAATTTATCACACCGGATCACTTAGTCAGCTCAGATTTAAAAGTAACCTTGTAAAATATTCGGTTTTTAACTAGGCATAATAAGGGGATATTGTAACAAAATTCTAGCTCCTATATTATTGTCTAAATGTCAACCACGTTTCAAACCCGTGAAACGCCTTTTTTTTCTTTTTTGCTCAGAAAAGCATTAAAACGTTTTTGTTAGAGAAATAAACTTAATGTCTTCACGTTACTAAGCAGTGTGCACTTAAAAGCAGCGCCGCTCTGCGGAAGTATGGCGACAAGCTGCTTGCGCGCGAGCGTTCTAAAAATCGGGTTTTCCTTCTTTCCAGGCCTATTCAACTCTTGCTGGGAGCGTTGAGTGGAAATCAAACACGGCCAGGTTGTAGCGCGTTGACGACGCCAAATATCAGAGCTCATAATCAGGCCAGCCACAAGCAGATTTGCCCCTGCTGGAACAGTTGTGGCGTCACGTCTGTGAATTAAATTGGTCCAGCTCCCGCAATGCCTCCCGTTCTTTAATGGCTGATCTTCAAGCGTTCGCTGGAATCGGTTTTTGGAACGAAAAATATAGCCATCCGTTAAAAATACCAGCGTGCGATTTTCATTAGCAGATTAATTTGATAGGATGTTTAACTTATTTCTAAAAATGAGAGGTATACTTAAATTTTCGATTAAGTATTCCTTTAAGGTATACAATAACGCAAGACGGAGAGTAAATGTAAATAGGGAGACAAACAGAGCGCCAGTAATAACTGACGCTTAATGCTTTAGACAAAGAAAGGCAAAGATGGCAAAGAAAGATGCCAAAGGCTTTAGACAAAGAAAGGCAAAGAATTAAAAAAAAAATCAAGAAAACAAAGAAAGGAAGATTTTTATAATATTAATATTAAAATTATAAATATGCCCCCCCCCAAAAAAAAAAAACAACAACAACAACAACAGAAAACTAAAAACCATAAATAAAATTAGCTAAAAATAAAAGTAAAAAAGTTCCTTCCGTGATAACGCTAGTGACGGTGCGCTGATACAAGCATCACATCTTGACAGGATTTCTTGCACCTCGTGCAGTTCTGGAGTTATTTCTTGATTAAAACGTCTTTGGATTCTGGTGTTGCCAAGCATAGGTTTGCATTTACAATGTACATTTACATGCACAGTGAAGTGTCCTGGTGGTGTTAACTTGAGCGTTAAAGTGCAGTGACACCAGCGGGACACCTCGCTGTGCATGTAAGGGATCGCAAATGCACACCTATGCTTGGAGACACTACAACCCTAGGACGCTTTAATTAAAAAAAAAAAGAAACTCAAGAACTGTACGAGGCACAAGCAATCTTGTCCATAGCTGTTGCTCGCATCAATGCACCACCAGTGGCGTTATCATAGCAATACGTTCATTGCTTTTGTTTTTTAGCCAATTTTATTTATGGTTTTAATTTTTCTGGCTTTCTTGGTGGGGAGTATTTTTTTCTTTTCATATTATTATTCTATTTTTTTATTTTTTTTATTTTTTTAATTTTTATATAATTCTTTTTTTATAATTCTAATATTCTTCACTTCATCGTTGTCTTTCTCTGGTCAAAGTATTAAACGGCAGCTGTTATTAGCCCTCTCCATTGTCTACCTTTCTTGGGGGATTGGTGGCCGAGTGGTCTAGCGCACCTCGCACTCTAAAAAAAGCCCGTGCGTCTACTTTCCCGCGCAACACTCCGAGAACCAATCACCGCAACTTAAGGAGGCAGCTAAGTCAATGACGATGCCGAAACATATGTGTAGACCAAACAACGCAGATTGAGTTGTGACATTAAGCAATGCAAGCGTGACGTTTTGCGTTGCTTAATGTCACAACTCATATTGCGTTTTTTGGTCTAAACATACGTTTCGGCATCGTCAATTGCTGAGCTGCCTCTGTAAGTTGCGGTGATTGGCTTTCCGAGTGTTGTGCGTAAAAATGAATAAATGTTTTTTTTTTGTTTTTTATGGCGCGGAGCACATGGAGTGGAAGCTCACGCTGCAAAACCCAGGAATCCTAGGATCAATTCATACCCTGCTTGTTTCGATCTGGGTGAGCATCATACCGGCGTGCGGTCGTGTACCACTACTGCGTGGTGCAAGTTAAAGACCCCAGGCTAGCGGTTGTACTGCACTGGCAAAATGTCTTATCTACAGCTGGGAGACTCGTCGACCGTTGAGGCAGACCAAGTTCTAGTCTGAATAAACATACAAACAACAATTTGCTTTGTATCCCTTTTACAGCGGAGCTGTTAAGGAGTACTTTCCCGAGTACCATGTGTTTGGGCAAACAAATCTCGACACAAAACTGTGGACAGCTACCGCCATCCATTAGCAACGGCGGCAACCAGACAAGCGGCTTGCGGTTGTCTGGTTGTCGCCGTCGCTCATAGATGGCGGTAACCTTTCCAGTCTTTCCACTCTGGTGCCGACTTGCGGCCTGCCATTACTTTTTTCCCACCATGGTACAGCTTCGCTGGTCTTCCTTCTTCAGAAGGTAGACAGGCTGTAAGTTTTTTTGTTTGATTTTTATGTTTCCTTTTTGTTTCGCGCTATCCCATACCTCAATATGTTTAACCAACTAGCCATCCAGATGATCTTGATGATTTGCTTAAACAGGTTAAGGTCAAAGTTTTTTTATTCAAAATTGTGTTATTATTTTTTGACATAAATGCATCGTTTTTACGACGTGGTAAGTATTCTTTCTTAATTTTGTCTGGGTATTTAAAAGCTGTAGCCCGCCTGCTATGACCTTAGTCGAGAGCAGCAGTATCGGTCAAACACATAATAGATGTACGGAAGGGTATATCTCAATGACATATGCAATGGAAGTTGTGAATCATCGGATTTCGACAGTGCCTCTCAAGCCGGTTGAGTAGGGATTACGAAAATGCGGGATGCTTATCCGCAGCTTAGCCAAAAAACAATTTGCTACTACCCATAGGAAAGAACTCCAGCAAGTAACCTGCAGAATCATTTACAAGTTCCCAGCGAAACTGCTTAATCTGGTCGAGCGCAAAAAGAGTTCTTTAATTTTTTGTAGAAATATTTTCTTTCTATGTAACGTAGGTGTCTGTAACTACGCAAGAGTACCGATACGCACTTAGGAAAATTTGAAATATTCCCGTCGTGTTCAAAAATAGGTTGAATATGATCCACAATATCCGTAAATGACAATCACACGTTTGTATTTTGAGCCTGGTGGCTGTATTTTTCGTTATAAACGGCCCACTCTCACAAGCGCTAGGAGAAGGCCCGCCGGAGACCACGTGACATTCAACGCGATCGTGACGTAGGTCGTCTCAGGACGAGCAAAGCTACGGCGAGGCTGACGTCGAGAGGATGGCCTAGTAGTTCCAGCCACCGAAGCGGCTGCTTTTGTACGAATTTTGAGTGACGGGTTAATCTTCTATAATCTTGTAGGGGGACAATAGCGACTTCTGCGACACACAAAAGGCATTCTCGGGAAGAGGGGAGTTCCTCCTGCACCCCTTCTCTCGTCGCGGCCGGAGGCGAGACAACCTCCGTCACTAGCTGTCAAGGTTCCTAGACGGGCATTACAAGCGGGGCGTTAGCGACATCCACCAGGGGCTTTTTGCTAATCGTTCAATTCGTTTTAAAATTTCTTTTCGTGACTTTTTTTAACAAGATATTGGTTTGTTATATGTGATGCTGCTCCTGTGAACATATATAGACCAAAAAATGAGCTCTGAAATTTCGTTGTAGTATCCCTTTAAGGTTAAGTAATGCCTCGGGAAATAACACAAAGAGGACTGGCACTACACATTACGCCATCGTCAGTAGATCCCCGACCCGCCTTCCTCAAGCTGCAAACACGTTCTAGCCCGACGAGAGTACGCCAGAAAGCGGTTGACATGTGCCGCTTTCCGGCGGCACATGTCACCTTGTCGCCGTGCGCAGTGCATCTTGGTGTCGCCGTGGGCTTGTACTGCGCAAATACCACCTAGAAGACAAGGTGTGCGTATAGCATTATTCGGATCCCCGACCCGCCCCAAGCGGCAAACACGCAAAAGCTTGACGAGAGCCGCCGCAACGTGGCAGAGGCGTCCGTCTTAAGGCCTGTCCCAATATAATACTACGAAAATCATGAGGGCGACAGGACTCCGGCAAAAATCGTAGAAGTTTAAGTGTCCGGCAGTCCGATGTCTGTTTGAACACCACCGAGCCAAAATCACGATTTTCTCCCTCGCTTGCTCCGGTTTTCGGTGACCTCGGTGCTTTACAGACTTGACGTCACGAGCCATGTGCGAATGGACGCGTTTAGAAGCGGCTAAGTCAGCTCTGAACGGAGTAAATCGAGTCGGAGTCCTCGGCGCGCCTACTGAACAGCAAAAAGAAAAACGCGGCTCTTCAGCTGCTTCTACGTAGTTTCTACTTCCTTCCCTCTGCCAGACGGTCTCCGAATAAAATAGAAGCAAACGACGCCGAGCACGATCGCTTTTATTTGACGCCGGTATTGAAGAAGTCTTGACGAGGTCGTTAAAGAAAAAGCGAGTGACGGTACACATC